GGGCAGCCGGGTTTCCCCCCCCAGGCCGGTTAAGGACAGCACTGCCCTCGGGAAGATCCCCCCAGGCAGATTTCCACCTCTACCTCAGAGCCGTTTTCCCCAAAACTCCGAGGAAAAACATGCGTGTAGGTGCTGGAAACCGAAGCTGTACTTTTGGCGCTTGCCCTCTTCTTTTGAAACACAGATGTACCCGTGGAGCTGCTACCCCGTATCTCCCAAAATGGCGTTGCGTTTCCCTCCTGTCCCAAAACAGAGCTCCCCTCCGGAACACAGCAACCTCTCCTGAACCCAGCCGGATCAAGGCTGCGCGGCCTCACAGCGGTGCAGTGGAGGCAGCAAACTCAGTGGAGCAAAGGCACCGCGCAGAGATGGGTGTTGCCTTCCACGTAGGCAATGCTCCTCTTCCATCTCACAGAAAACAAGATTTAGAAGGGAAAAAGTCCAGTTTCATTCTGATCCCTCAAAAACACACTCAAAATGGAGGCAGGGCCAATGCAGGATAGAGACAACAGGACAATACCCCATAACCCCCGAGCTACCCTCCTCTTCCCTCCTACTCTTCGCTCATCCGAGGAGCTGGAAGCCCCACAGAGCAGGCAAACGAAGGGGCAGCTCTTCCTGCTCAGCTGGCAGGGAACAGGCTCGGAAGGAATTTGCAAAGTCACCAAGATCCATCATTTATTCCCAGCAGGTGTTTCTGAAAATCAATTTCAAGAGTTCTACACAGCCTGCCGCTGTAGAAACCCCGCTGCAGGGATGGGAGGTGGGTTCTCATCTCCCTGCATTTCAGCTCCAGCCTTCCCATCCTCCATGGAACCAGGTGCCTCTCCATAGAGATCCCTCGGCACGTGAGGACCGCTCCGATCAGGGGAGTCTGGCACTTCTCCCAACAGCCGAAAAAAAAACCCACAGAGATGCCACCCGAGAAAAGGAAGCCCGAGTTGATGATTAGGCTGTTGCCACAATCCCCCTCACAGCTTAAATTCGTTTAATGCTTGAAAAAATAAATAGGCCTCTCATCTGGGTAAGGCAGAGCAGCATAACTACAGAAGCAGTGATTTAGAAATAAATCAGTATTAAAATTTAGTATATTGCCAGATAGGTCAGGCAACCAAAGGAGGAGAAACCCAAGCCAACCACATCACCACAGACTCCAAAGCAGCAGGTGCCACTTTACAGGGAGTTCAGCGTGTTTGTATCAGGCACAGCGCTGTTGACACGTGCTCAGGGCTGCTGCTCTGACCCCTTTCCTCCCCCTTCCTCCGTGATTTAAGTTTGAGAATAGAAGAAAGCAAGAAAATACAAACCCAGGGTCCACCTCTGTCAAACTCAGTGCACACCCAAAGCCAATGGCGTGGAAAGGTCCCATCCCGCTCCTCCTGAAGGCCAGACACACGGGACACCAGAGGCTCAAATCCAGGAACCGAGAGATCCTGAATCGGATTTCACATAGCTCTCGCTGTTCCAAGGCTGCAACTGCAGACATCGGCTCAGATTTATTTTTAGGCACTCCAGCCCTGTGCCTTTTTTCCAGTAATTCTGATCAAACTCATTCCTGGAACTCGGGAACGGGTTCGGCTGCAAGACAGCGCTTCCTGCGTGTAAGACGTCACTCCCCGCAAGGATGCCAGGGAAGGAAGAAATGACAGATGCTGGCGTCACTTTATCATTTTCTACTTTATTACTTCAAATTAACAACCACGATAAAGCTCAAAAAAGTCCAATATTTACACAGGAAAAAAGTACAAAATCCCCCCCCAAAGTTCTTCAGGTTTTTTTTTGTTTTTTTTAAATTACAAAGTAATAAAAAGTTTTGCTCTTTAATTAAAAAAAAGAGAGAGACAGTAAGAGGGGTAAATAAATTAGGAAAAAAATAGGGAGGAAAAATAAAGTGTTAAATAGAAAGGATAAAAACAAACAAAACAAAGACTAACCCCACCCTCCCCGCCCTGCCAACAACCCATCGGCTCCCCACTACAGTGACAGTGTGTCTGCTACCGGGCCACAGGCGC